AAATTATTTTCCTTTTTCCTAGGAAAACATGGTCCATCAAACATGGCCTAAATGTATGTGGTCAAAGGGGTTGTCAGGGAAGTCATCCTGGTTGTCGGACATGGGGCCCACGAATGTTGAAAAACGGTTGGAAAAAATTGATAAGAATGGGGGCCAAATACACTGTAAGGCCCTATTTCATTTTGATTTAAAAAAAAGAAAATTGAGTAGATTTTAATAAAAGATAATGAAACGTGTAGTTAAAAATGAGTTGTAAGATATGAAACCAAACATGGACTAATGGTTCTAACTAATTTGAAATATTCCCAATATCTTATCCATATTCTGCATCATGTAAGGTACAGCTTCTTTTTCTTGTCTTTGTCTTGGAACTTGGAGGTCACGATCTACTAATTATAGTTTAATTTAGGTTGTATACTATTTTCTCCGAAATGACAAACTACAACCTTATCATTTACAAATAATATACCATACTCACAAATCTTAACCACTAAGTCTCCATATTTTTCGTGTACACTCCTTGAGAACTCGAATTACAAATAATTTTTTTTTTATTCACCGTCAAAATGAACAACTCTTTGTGCTTACAATTAAGGTGTTGTTTGACAAAGTTTTTCATAAAAATTGATAAAATGTATGGTTGATAACAATTTTTAAAGCTATTCCAAACAAGTACTAAGAAAAACACTGAAAATGCTTTTTGTACATTATCATTTACATAATTTTTTACAAATAGATAATGTATCAAAAAGAAAATGAGATTTTTTTTATTTGGTTGATAAGATTTTAATCTAATCAAATCTCGTCACATCATCTACTGATAGAATCCTCTATAAATTGTGATATACATGTAGCACCATAGTAAAACACTACCAATTTCTCTATGTATTTGGGAATGAAAATTTAACTTTTCAGAATAAGCCAATAAGCTGTGAGTGTCTTCAAATAAGAACAAATGGCAAATACGGAAATACCCACAAAACTCAACCACGAAGTCTAATTTTTTAGAATAATGCTTCTTGAACATCACCCTTCACATAAGGGGTGACATAATGGTCAAGTGACGCTTCCTC